TCGGAGCTGCAACTGAGAAGGCTCTCCTCCGCGTAGTCGCCAGTCGGCACTGACTGGCGGATGGAATTGTAGTTGATTTTAAACATCTAATGCTTTTATCAGCCTGGTTTTTCTTTGTTTAGAACGTCTGGCTGTGGGACTTTGGTCCTGTCTGTATGTCTATCTGTGTCTGTCTGTCTGTCTGTCTCTCCCTCCCTCTCTCCCCCCCTCCCCCCAACTACCTCACAGGGTTTTTGTAGGAAAAATAGGAGGAGGAAGGGAGATTAGGTATGTTCACCCTCTTGAGTTATTTATAAAAATAATGAAGGATATGTAAAAAATAAATATTTCAGGCTTCTGAAAAACTATGAGATGTTTATTGCTGTTGTATTCATTCTTATATATTTAATATTGCGTAAGGTATCTGATGGCACAGAGGCTGTACCAACTACATCTGCACCTACATCAGGTATTGTGGGTGCACTAATGGAAGTTATGCAGAAAAGGAGCAAAGCCATTCATTCTTCAGGTAGGTCAGGAAATCAATATTTGATTTACTCCATCACGTAGGAAATAACTTAGCTTTTATCTCTGCAGCAGTACTAGATGCTCAGCATCTCCTGAAGCAAAGTCTAATCTGTTTTATTCTCTTTGAGAAGTTTCATGGAAGGAATAATCTTTTAGCTTTGGGTCATTAAGATCCATAAAGCTGAATGTTTAAAGAAATGGTTTTAAGAGTGAATGACAACGTTCTGGGTTATGGAGATCCCAACAATAATAGGTCTCCAAGCTAAACAATCAAACAAATGCTTAACCACTTTGATTAGTTTTGCTGTGTCGCCTCTTTGGAAGAAAAGAAGGAAGGAATCAGGATATTCTGTTTTTGAAATGGGAATAAAACATTGCATAAGAGGAAATGCAAAGAGTAATGATGATGCAGGAAATAGGTTTCCTTTTCTTGAATAACCTGTTGGCCAGAAATCATTGATTAGATTGACAAATGATTAAGAGATATTCATAAATCTAGCGAGCTCAGTCTCCAGCTTTGTCGATGTGTTTGTCAATGCATGAGTACTTAGCCAAATATTAAAATTTAATTAATATCTCTTTTTTGCATAATGAATAATTTATCACTTTAGCAGTCAGGTTAACTGGGTGACCCTTTTTAACAACAAACTTAAGCTTTTTACTCATGGCCATGAGTTTTTAACCTGTGCTTAACCTTTTTCACAATCAAAACTGAGACAACACTTCTAAAAACAGAATCTCATACTTTGATCAATTAAACTTAAATTCACCTGTTAGCTTTTTCTTCTCCTAGCAAGTTGGCGGAGAGTCACTGAAAGAGCAGGGCAATCCTGAACCCAAAACAACTTCTTCATTAAGGCCTTCACTTACCGAATTTTTCAGAGTATAAGACGCACCTTCCCCCCCCCAAAAAAAGAGGGTGAAAATTTGGGTGTGTCTTATACACTGAATGTAGACCCACCCACCCACCAGCCCCAACCCTTTTGC